CATACCTGGTGCTAAAGTCATGAAATGTGGGAGAAGGAAGTTAGGGTGGCTGTGGGGTTTACCTGACTGGAAATTCTCTGAGAGTAGGCAAGCCAGCCCCTGCCAGACAGAGTTCTGCTGTACATAGTCCTGCTGCAGTGCTGGAGTGCTCTACTAGATAACCCTTGGCAGATTCCTTCTGTCCCAAGGTTTCTAAGGAAATATCCAGTGGGCTGGAGTTTCTCACTACCAGCGAACACTAATGACAGGTAAGTTCTTGCTGCTTCTTTTGTCCACTTCTAAGTAAGAATTTTAGTACTCTGCATTTTGACTATTTTCTCCTGACAAATTCAGCTGATGGTTTAAATTCATTTGTGAGAGAAAACAAGGGAACTAACAATGCCTGGTTTCCAGTGGATTTGTGTTCACTCTTTCCCTCACCCTCTGCTGTAATATCAGCATTTCTCCCAGCCCCCATGGACTCTTTGCATTGTTTCTTAAAGTCTCATGGCTCTGTGCCCACTGTTAACAGTACTTGCAGCTCCCCCTTGTCTTTTTGAGTTCCACCCTTGTCAGCACCCTTGGCTGATCCCTCCCTGTTGGATGGGGAGGCTGTCCCACATATTCCAGCTGTTTTGGGGGTTTATTTATGTTTATTGGCCAATATGAGTGGCCAAAGGAAAGACCAAAGAGGCTATTTAACTGTTGAATTCACTCTGAAGCTCTTCCCTCAGCACGAAAATGAACATGGGTTGCTTTATTTGACCCAGCTGTAGAAGCTTGTACATTTGTAGAGGCTTGTAGATTTCTGTCAAACTTACCTGAAATTAATTAAAGGGATCAGAAGTCATTGGCAGACAGACAAAAAATATTGCTGCAAGAATGTTATTTGTTTAAGTACTCAAGCTAAAAGTAGGAGTACTTTTAAGAATACTTTACTTTTCATGTGTTTTTAAATACCTGAAGCAGAAATTTTGATAAACATTTTGTCTCAGTTTTGTGAGAGAAATACAACACAATTTAAAAAGTTTTGGTTCTTACTCTTGTGTGTATTCTCTGTATACTTCTAAATAGTTTAGGACAAATACTAATAAATTAGTCTTTATATATATATTTCACAGCTAAAGCAGTCTTTCCTTGCTCCCAACTGGTTTAACAATGTGATGCTTTTAGCATTTCAAATAGTTCAGATAAACCAGGATCTTTTGGCATAGGCCATACTTGAAGAAAGTAGGTTACACTTACTCTAGTCTGTTAATAACAGCTAACATTTTGCACTACTGTTCTTTCTACACTGCAATTACACTCATGTAGAGCTGACTTCAGTCCTGATAGGCAATACAGTGAATTGAGATGCTTCATAATCAAGTACATTGAGTGAAGCAATTGCAGTAGTTGTAACAACTCAGAAATATTCAGGACAGTGGTCAGATGCCTCCTGATTCCTTGCAGTAGATGGCTTGATGCAGCACTTGTGGCATAATCGAGGCAGGAGCATAAGAAACATTATTCAGTCACAGTAATCTTGTGTCTCAGGGGACTCCCAGTCCGTTTTCACATTGTCTTGATCACAGCTGAACAGATTTCTGACACACTCAACTGATTACATATAACAGTCAAGAAATATTAGTGCATTTTAATATTAAAATAAAAAATACAATTGTCACAGGTTTCTACACGTCTCCCAGTCCTTAGTAAACTCATGTAAATAAAATATTTGGTGGATTTCCTTAATCTAGGAGGTTGCTGTATTTCCATATTGCCAATTTCTTGGATCTGGGCCTTGAACAGTAGGCTTTGGGTCCTACGGCACAGTGTTTACAAAGCAGTAAGAGGATGCATATTTGCAATGGCTTAAAATCTGTTTGTGTCTCATTTTGGACCTGGCTGTACACAGTAGCTGTTTGGGATGGCTGTGAACTGACTGCAGAAGGAAGCCCCACAGGATAAAGGAGGCCTCTTTGAACGCTGTGTGATACAGGTGTACAAGACTCAGCCATGATTCTGGCACCTGGAATGAGAAAGTCCTCAATAAATGCCTCATCCTCTCCCTCTGACTCAGAAGTGCCGGCATAGAGACCAAACCCCAGAGCAGACTGATAAGACAGGAAAAAGAGAGACTTCTAATGCTTGAGATTAAGGGAGACTTCCAGCATCTGGAGCTGGACCCATTGGGGTCCTTGCTCCTGGCAAACCTTTGGGTTAAGAACTGCAGCTTCTGGGATGCTAGTGAAGGACAAGGGGCAGGGGCAGTGGTGGGTGCCACTGCACAAGGGTATGTGGAAGGACCATGAGGTGATCAGGAAATACAAGGAACTTACCATGCAAGTACATTAAGGGGATAGTTGATTATGCTGAGAGTGAGTGAATGTGGCCATTGAGCAGGCCTAGTGCAATTCAGAAAGGTATTAATAGTCAGGCTAAAGTAGGGAAAGTCAATTTCCAACAGGGAACTAACCTTTCCTTTACAGCAGCCCTTGTCTGTCAATAAAGAGAATCAGCCCACAACATCAAAAAAATGTGTTTATTTATGATGCCAGTGATATCTCTCCCTGTAACAGATCCCACATTAGTTTAGCTCATTCCTGAGAGATGCTGCTGTCAAAAGCCCTCGTTCTCTCTTATCCACAGCAAATGATGAATCTTTAGGTATTTGCTCAGAGCAGATTTGGAAATACAGACTCCCTGTGCTGTGCTAAACTGTAAATACCAGCTTCTGAGCTTCTCAGTATAAGCAGGTTCTAAATAATCTCACAAACTATTCACTTGAGGGAAAGTTCAGTATAAGTAAATTATTCTTATGTGTTGAATATCCTCTTCAACTGCATGCAGCAAGAGAGAAAAAGAATTTATAACTTTCTCTCTTAACCAACAATATTATAATTATTAAAGGTAAAGACAAAGTGCATAGCATCACTAGGATATACGGACTGCAAACGTAATTTACATTTAGCTATCTTAGAGTGACTGTTCTGTCAAGTATGCTTTCAAATAATTCTAAAATAAGATTATGCTTTAAGGAGCAAACATAACTCATCAGTGATTTAAAATTAGATCATATATTCTGCATAACTGAAATCTGCTCCTAGGATGTGCATGCACGTGTGTCAGGGGGGGAGAAAAGAAGAAAAAAATGGTCCTCTTTTACTACTCTTTTCACCTGCACTCTTGAATTCCAAAATGGAATTTTATATTAAATGGGAATGGAACGTAGTTAGGAGATTTTGCTGTGGACTACCTCCTCCAAAATTCACCCTTTGCTGTCTCCTGTCACAAATCCCTCATCCATTAGTAAGATATTGAGCAGGTGCATAATTCTGCCAAAGAAAATGTACGAAGTTAAACACATGTTGAAATGTTTTACTAAACTGCATCCTTGTTACTAATAATGATGGCTTATTTGGAAAATCCTAACTACATCTTCTAAGCATTTGTATCATTCCAAGGGGCTTTCCAAAGAGCAGGAGGAAAGCTGAGTGATCAGCCTGTGCCGCTTCGGCTCCACACAGGTGCCCTGAAGGTCAGTGTTAAAAGCCGCTAGATTAAGGACTTACTTTTGAAAACAGCTGTAGGAATTAGCACCTTGGAGTTAAAACACTAAGGGAAAAAAAGATCATGGTTATAGAAATACAAGGAGCCAGCCACCGTGGCTGCAGGCGGAGGGAAGGCGGCTCAGCGCCCGTTCCGGTGGGACGCACTCCGTGCCCGGGCAGCTGAGGCGGCCCAGGCGAGTGCGGCGGCCCGGCCGAGGCGACGGGCCCGGAGATGCCGAAGGCGCAGTTGCCCATTCCCACACAAACATCGTTCCTTTCGCCCAACGCCTCCCTCCTGGGCAGCCCGGCTGGCCCCACGCGTCCCGGGGCAGCCGAGGATCGGCCTGCGCCTCCGCCACCCACCCTAGAAACGCCGGCAGCGGGAGCGCCTTCCCCACAGCGGCACTCAGCCCTGACAGGCATCAGCCCACGCTGCGGATCTAGCTGGAACTGCCTTCCCCCGCAGCGCCGGGCTTCTCCTGCTCCCCGCGGCGGAGGGGCAGACCCGGAGGAGGGGATTTTGGGCACTCTCTCCCCCTCCCGCTCTCGCCTGCGGCCGCTCCCGCGGGTCCCGCCGCTCGCCCCCGGCGCGGAGGCGCCGCTCCAGGCCCGGCCACCAGGTGTCGCTGCCACGCGCCGCGGGCGACCCCCGAGCCCGGCGGAGCCCCCGCGGATTCCCCGCCCGCGACTCCGGAGCAAAGCCGACCCCGGGAAAGCGCAGCGGCTCCCACTGGGGCGGGCGCCCGCCCCGCCTCCGTCCCAAGCTGAGCCGGCTGCAGGTGAAGCCAGGTGCCTGGACGCCTCTCCGCGGCAGCAGCACCGCCTCCCCCAGCACGGCGCGGCGCCGTCCTCCTGCCCCGTGAGTGGCTGCCGGCTGACTGACAGGCGAGGCGGCCACATAGGGCGGCCGCTGCCTGGCGTACACCTATAAGGGCCGGCGGTGAGGAGCGCCGCGCGGTGTGGGGCTGCCCGTGGCGGAGCCACCCGGTGACCATCAGTCCTCCCACGGCCGGGCGTCCTCGCTTGCAGAGCCGAGCGCTGGCGGAGGCGGGCGCCTGTCCGCTGGCTCCCCGGCAGCAGCCCCGCCCGCCGATCCCCGCAGCAAGTGGCAGTCCCGCGCCACGGGCCCCCGTCTCCGGCAGCGGCGCCCGAAGGATGCGGAGCGGCGGAGCGCGGGCGGCGGCGGGG